CGCGCAGTCCATGTCCATTTCCACGTCCACGTCCACGATCTGAGGATCTGTTACGTTGGACGAAGTTGGACTCTTTTCTGGTTCCTTCTGGCAATGGGGCTGATCCTGGAGGCCGCACGGCACTGTTCCTCAACAGAAGCTGATTGTTCTTCTCAGCAAGCAGTAAGCAAGATATCAAATCCTCATAGGTGCTATGATTCATGGCACGGTATTGTTGTTGGAGAACAACATTGGGAGTGCCAAAAGTAGAGAATGTTTTCTCTAGCATATCCTTATCAGTGACCTCCTCGCCACATAGTTTTATGAGTGCAACTATCCGAAAGAGTTCGGAATTGAATTCTTCGACGGATTTGAAATCTTCGAACCGTAGGTTCTTCCAGTCGAACTTGGCTTGGGGCAGTATGACCGTTTTCTGATGGTCATATCGCTTTTTCAGTGCCACCCAAAGTTCGAGTGGATCCTCAAGAGTGAGGTATTGTTGCTTGAGAGACTCAGCGAGGTGATGGCGGATAATAAATATCGCCGAGTACCGTTCTGTTTGAGTCGCGGTGTTGGGATCTTTGATGCATTCACCCAGACTTTTTGAGTTGAGGTAGATCTTGGTGTCAAGGGCCCATTTGAGGTAGTTATCTCCGGAGACAGTGAGTGCCTCATATTCGACCTTCTGAATGTTTGACATCTGAAACATATAATAATTTATGTTAAATAATCAATAGTATGAGACTATGATCATTGGAATAAGGGATTTAAGGTATTCTTGGGAAAACTTTCCATTTCAGGAAACTTGCTATTTTAGGAAACTTGCTATATAAGGGAACTCTAAAATCGAACCTTAGGGTTTATAACCTAGCCGGTTTACTAGGGTTTCCAAATTTAGCTCTAATAGATAAACATTGGTTTTTTTTTTTTTTTTTTTTTTTTTTTAAGGGTTTTAGGATTTAGGAGCTTGCATGGACCGGTTTTAGGGTTTTCAAGGATCGGATCTAAGATAAATAACCGATCGGTTTAGGATATTAACCGATCGATCTCGGTTTAACGATAGACAAACCAAAACGATTTTAGATCTAGGGTTTTGCAAAGATTTAGGTTTCGGTTGCAAGGAATTTTAGTGTTTGGTTTAGATGATGCTAGGACCGATCGGTATAGGGTTTGAACAAAGCATTAGGGTTTAGGTTTTATATGATAAAGCCGATTAGGAAAAATAAAACCAATTAGGGTTTTGACAAGAAGAAAGAGGATCGGTTTGGTTATGGTTTTAAAAACGAAAAAGACGATGAAGAATCATGAAAAGAACCGATCCATATTAGGGTTTTAAAAAAAAAACCAAAACTTTGATTAGGATCTATAGTTTTAGATAATACCTTTTCGCCAAATGGATTTCTGACCGGCTTATGATCTGGGAGCTAAAGACCACAGATATCTACTGGAAAATCCTGAGAATTATGGCCAGAAGGGAGGACGAACAGCTGCTACAATGGAGGAACCACCGCTTGGAAAGAATCACCCGCTAAGGTGGGACAGCGCCGATTGTTTTGAGTCTTGAGGGCGCGTCTGGTGTCGGATTGAGGAGCGGTTTTCACCAATAGATTCTTCTCTTCCAGGGCTTCAAAATTATATGTAGATCGCCTTCTAACTCCTTGTATTTTGAGAGATATGATCGTTTGAAGTTGAGCTTCGTGCTGATAACGTATTAAGGGAAAAACTCTTATCTTATTGTTTCCATAAGCAGTGTATATATACATTACATAACTAATGTATCAGAAACCTTAATGGGCCATGAGACATTAACCTGATGGTTAATGGGCCGGTTACTAGAAGTCCATTTGTTTATAACATTTTCTCATTTCTTCTTCCTAACGATCCAACATGTTAAAAAAACAATACATTATGATCTTAAAATTCAATTTTAATGAAAAAATACAAATATAGCCAAAATTGTTACATGTACATTCCATAAAACTTAATCTTCATTGTTTTCAATAAATAAGCTTTACATGAAACAAACAAAAAATTATGCAACGAAAACTTTCAAATGTTACTATTTTTAATATGAAAATTATAATATAAATGCACCAACATACACTGATATGTATCTATTATAAATATGAAAAATCTAGATGAATATAAACAATAAACACAAGAAAATTTTCACGTGAAAATAGACCATATATAGTACAAAAAAAAGTGTTGATAGCATCAAATAAATTATATCAGAAAAATAATTGATACTAATTAGAGTCATTTATTTACAAGTGACATAAATTATACAGTATTAACATCAGTTAATGCAATTGATGTTATTATTAGTTTATATGACATCGATTGCATAAAACTGATATTAATTTATTTTAAATCACATCACTTGAACAATATTGATACAAAACCAAATTTTACATCATTAGATAATTGATGTATATATTAGCATCACTTGAATAAAATAATGCAAATTTTGTAGCAATTAAAAAGTGATGCCAACAAAAAACTGAATTAAACAATTAATATATTTAATTTAATTTGGTCAAAACTTATCTGTCCCACATCGGTTAGGAGAACTTGAGAAGAGAGAATTGCTCCTCTATAAAATAAACTCATCATTGTTAATAATCGTAAGATTTTTATTAAACCTTCAACCAAAAT